TCTATAGTCACTGAGGACCACTGGCTGAGTTTTCTTTGGTCCTGGATCAAGGCAGGAGGTCTATAGTAACTGAGGACGGCTGGCCTAGTCTTCTTTGGTCCTGGATCAAGGCAGGAGGTCTATAGTCACTGAGGACCACTGGCTGAGTCTTCTTTGGTCCTGGATCAAGGCAGGAGGTCTATTGTCACTGAGGACCACTGGCTGAGTCTTCTTTGGTCCTGGATCAAGGCAGCAGGTCTATAGTCACTGAGGACCACTGGCTGAGTCTTCTTTGGTCCTGGATCAAGGCAGGAGGTCTATAGTCACTGAGGACTGCTGACTGAGTCTTCTTTGGTCCTGGATCAAGGCAGCAGGTCTATAGTCACTGAGGACCACTGGCTGAGTCTTCTTTGGTCCTGGATCAAGGCAGGAGGTCTATAGTCACTGAGGACCACTGGCTGAGTCTTCTTTGGTCCTGGATCAAGGCAGGAGGTCTATAGTCACTGAGGACTGCTGGCTGAGTCTTCTTTGGTCCTGGATCAAGGCAGCAGGTCTATAGTCACTGAGGACCACTGGCTGAGTCTTCTTTGGTCCTGGATCAAGGCAGGAGGTCTATAGTCACTGAGGACTGCTGGCTGAGTCTTCTTTGGTCCTGGATCAAGGCAGCAGGTCTATAGTCACTGAGGACCACTGGCTTAGTCTTCTTTGGTCCTGGATCAAGGCAGGAGATCTATAGTCACTGAGGACCACTGGCTGAGTCTTCTTTGGTCCTGGATCAAGGCAGGAGGTCTATAGTCACTGAGGACCACTGGCTGAGTCTTCTTTGGTCCTGGAACAAGGCAGGAGGTCTATAGTCACTGAGGACCGCTGGCTGAGTCTTATTTGGTCCTGGATCAAGGCAGGAGGTCTATAGTCACCGAGGACTGCTGGCTGAGTCTTCTTTGGTCCTGGAACAAGGCAGGAGGTCTATAGTCACTGAGGACTGCTGGCTGAGTCTTCTTTGGTCCTGGATCAAGGCAGGAGGTCTATAGTCACTGAGGACCACTGGCTGAGTCTTCTTTGGTCCTGGAACAAGGCAGGAGGTCTATAGTCACTGAGGACTGCTGGCTGAGTCTTCTTTGGTCCTGGATCAAGGCAGGAGGTCTATAGTCACTGAGGACTGCTGGCTGAGTCTTCTTTGGTCCTGGAACAAGGCAGGAGGTCTATAGTCACTGAGGACTGCTGGCTGAGTCTTCTTTGGTCCTGGATCAAGGCAGGTGGTCTATAGTCACTGAGGACTGCTGGCTGAGTCTTCTTTGGTCCTGGATCAAGGCAGGAGGTCTATAGTCACTGAGGACTGCTGGCTGAGTCTTCTTTGGTCCTGGAACAAGGCAGGAGGTCTATAGTCACTGAGGACTGCTGGCTGAGTCTTCTTTGGTCCTGGATCAAGGCAGGAGGTCTATAGTCACTGAGGACTGCTGGCTGAGTCTTCTTTGGTCCTGGATCAAGGCGGGAGGTCTATAGTCACTGAGGACTGCTGGCTGAGTCTTCTTTGGTCCTGGAACAAGGCAGGAGGTCTATAGTCACTGAGGACTGCTGGCTGAGTCTTCTTTGGTCCTGGATCAGGGCAGGAGGTCTATAGTCACTGAGGACCACTGGCTGAGTCTTCTTTGGTCCTGGAACAAGGCAGGAGGTCTATAGTCACTGAGGACTGCTGGCTGAGTCTTCTTTGGTCCTGGAACAAGGCAGGAGGTCTATAGTCACTGAGGACTGCTGGCTGAGTCTTCTTTGGTCCTGGATCAAGGCAGGTGGTCTATAGTCACTGAGGACTGCTGGCTGAGTCTTCTTTGGTCCTGGATCAAGGCAGGAGGTCTATAGTCACTGAGGACTGCTGGCTGAGTCTTCTTTGGTCCTGGAACAAGGCAGGAGGTCTATAGTCACTGAGGACTGCTGGCTGAGTCTTCTTTGGTCCTGGATCAAGGCAGGAGGTCTATAGTCACTGAGGACTGCTGGCTGAGTCTTCTTTGGTCCTGGATCAAGGCAGGAGGTCTATAGTCACTGAGGACTGCTGGCTGAGTCTTCTTTGGTCCTGGAACAAGGCAGGAGGTCTATAGTCACTGAGGACTGCTGGCTGAGTCTTCTTTGGTCCTGGATCAGGGCAGGAGGTCTATAGTCACTGAGGACCACTGGCTGAGTCTTCTTTGGTCCTGGAACAAGGCAGGAGGTCTATAGTCACTGAGGACTGCTGGCTGAGTCTTCTTTGGTCCTGGAACAAGGCAGGAGGTCTATAGTCACTGAGGACTGCTGGCTGAGTCTTCTTTGGTCCTGGATCAGGGCAGGAGGTCTATAGTCACTGAGGACCACTGGCTGAGTCTTCTTTGGTCCTGGATCAAGGCAGGAGGTCTATAGTCACTGAGGACCGCTGGCTGAGTCTTCTTTGGTCCTGGAACAAGGCAGGAGGTCTATAGTCACTGAGGACTGCTGGCTGAGTCTTCTTTGGTCCTGGATCAAGGCAGGAGGTCTATAGTCACTGAGGACTGCTGGCTGAGTCTTCTTTGGTCCTGGATCAAGGCAGGAGGTCTATAGTCACTGAGGACCACTGGCTGAGTCTTCTTTGGTCCTGGAACAAGGCAGGAGGTCTATAGTCACTGAGGACTGCTGGTTGAGTCTTCTTTGGTCCTGGAACAAGGCAGGAGGTCTATAGTCACTGAGGACCACTGGCTGAGTCTTCTTTGGTCCTGGAACAAGGCAGGAGGTCTATAGTCACTGAGGACCGCTGGCTGAGTCTTCTTTGGTCCTGGAACAAGGCAGGAGGTCTATAGTCACTGAGGACCGCTGGCTGAGTCTTCTTTGGTCCTGGATCAAGGCAGGAGGTCTATAGTCACTGAGGACCACTGGCTGAGTCTTCTTTGGTCCTGGAACAAGGCAGGAGGTCTATAGTCACTGAGGACCACTGGCTGAGTCTTCTTTGGTCCTGGATCAAGGCAGGAGGTCTATAGTCACTGAGGACCGCTGGCTGAGTCTTCTTTGGGCCTGGAACAAGGCAGGAGGTCTATAGTCACTGAGGACCACTGGCTGAGTCTTCTTTGGTCCTGGATCAAGGCAGGAGGTCTATAGTCACTGAGGACTGCTGGCTGAGTCTTCTTTGGTCCTGGATCAAGGCAGGAGGTCTATAGTCACTGAGGACCACTGGCTGAGTCTTCTTTGGTCCTGGAACAAGGCAGGAGGTCTATAGTCACTGAGGACTGCTGGCTGAGTCTTCTTTGGTCCTGGATCGAGGCAGGAGGTCTATAGTCACTGAGGACTGCTGGCTGAGTCTTCTTTGGTCCTGGAACAAGGCAGGAGGTCTATAGTCACTGAGGACTGCTGGCTGAGTCTTCTTTGGTCCTGGATCAAGGCAGGAGGTCTATAGTCACTGAGGACTGCTGGCTGAGTCTTCTTTGGTCCTGGATCGAGGCAGGAGGTCTATAGTCACTGAGGACTGCTGGCTGAGTCTTCTTTGGTCCTGGAACAAGGCAGGAGGTCTATAGTCACTGAGGACTGCTGGCTGAGTCTTCTTTGGTCCTGGATCGAGGCAGGAGGTCTATAGTCACTGAGGACTGCTGGCTGAGTCTTCTTTGGTCCTGGAACAAGGCAGGAGGTCTTCCACATCCCTGGAACTGTCTCCAGGGTCAGACTAAGGGGGAAGAGGTGCTGTAGAATCCCACAGAGCTGCTCTGCTCAGGCCTTCAGGACTCTGACACCATCAGGACCTGCGGACTGATTACCATCCAGTCTCTCCAGTTGAGGGAACAGCTCCACCTGCTGGTCTGGCTGATAATAGAAGCAGGAAGTGATGTCAGAGGAGGGCAGGATGTCCATGTGAGTGAGTGCAGGAGAGAAAGATGCTGAGCTTGTTGAATGGATTCAGTTCTTTGGTTCTGTCCAGACCTCCATCTGTCTGATCATCCTCCTGCTGGAAGTCTGGGATCTTCTTCATCTCTGATATTCTTCTGCTGGAGATCCTTTTCCAGCATCTTCCTCTTTGCCTGCTTGCTTCCTCTGGTCTTTACCTTAAGTTGCTTCTGTGTTATTAAATAATAAAAAGAGTCATTAGGAAATGCATTTCAAGGGAAGGCTAAATCTGCAGCCCAGCACCAGACTGGCAGGGAGAGAAAAAATGCGACTGCAGAACTTCTGGATAAAAGCATGCTTAGTGTGAGGGATTGCTGAAGAGTCAATGAGTCGATGCAATCAGCTGGTTTTCCTTAGATAGAAAACTTTGAATCAATCTGACTGGATGATCTGGTTGATCTGGATCTATAAAGTGACCTGAGATGACATGATGTGAATTGGAGCTATAGAAATTAACTGAATAGAACTGAATGAAATTAGAGGAGAGCAAAGATAGATTAAGGAAATAGATTGCATCTCCAAACTCCACTACTGCTGCTAGTTTGGTTGAAGCATAGAAAACTGTTCATAGATCCAACAGCTAGTGCTCTGATGCAGGGTTGGAAACTTTCTAACATTTCTTCCCGAAATCCTAAAAAAAAAAACAATAAACAAACTGATTTCTTTATTGTGTTTCTATAATTTCATTAATGTAATAAAACCTAATAGATGAATATTATAATGGAATTTAAACTGTAAGCAGAGTCACAGGATGTGATGTTTTTCCCGCGATAAACTTTGAATCATGGATGTTTATTATAGAGTGAAGCTCAGGTAGACCTGATGCACTTAGAGCCGTGTCACCACACCAGGCGGGTATTTTGGTCCAATATGGCGCTTTGAGCAGTTTGGATTCCCGACCTGAGCTGGAGGAAGAGAACACCTATTGGTTTAAAACTCCTCTCCATGTTTTCCTGGTTTAGTGCAGCTTTTACTGCTCCTCCAACCAGAAAGAAGCAGAATCATGGAGGGCAGCTGGAATCAGGAAAAGCTGTCCCTCTGTCCTCTCACTGTGTCCATCTCTACATCCTGGCTGCTGCTCAGCTTTGCTTTGCTACCATTTTGTTCTTCTTTCTGTGATGTCAGCAGAAGTTTTTCTGCCTCTGCAGATTAGCTACCTGTGCGTCCTTCGCGCTGTGGGTCGGAGCGCCGGAACACAGCCGGACCAGAAGACCAGGATCAGGCAGTTGGTCAGCAGCACCATCCTCATCTTCCTGGTGTGCTTCTCACCGTACCACGTCTTCCTGCTGGTGCGGACGCTGTTTGAGCGCGACTGCAGCTTTATAACAGGTGGGTTCTCGGTTCCAGGACCGCATGATGAGTCATGGAAAGTCCTTAACTCCTCTTTGGACTTTCCAGGGATCTTTAACTACTATCACCTGTCCCTTCTGCTGACCACGCTGAACTGTGTGGCCGACCCGGCCCTCTACTGTTTCGTCAGCGAAGGCGCCCGGCGAGGTCTCTACAGGGTCCTCGTCAGACCTCTGAGCAAGATCATCTTCTGCTGCTGTCGCCGAGGCAACGCCAGCCCCATCAACCCGGCCAGCGAATCCCATGAGGTGGCAACGGAGGAGAATAACGGCCATCCCACCGTAACGCTGCTGAACCACACCTCCAGGCAGAACGCAGACGGAGACGTCATCCCCCTGAGCGTCAGGAAGGACTCCTGTCCACAGGGCGGTGATGGGAGGAGCAGCTGTGTGGTTGGCGTGGAGGAGGACACCACCCGAGGCGCCGCTGAAGGTATGGGGCGGTAAGGACCAGGGAGGCTGCAGAGAGACAGCAGAGAGACAGCTGGCCCGCCTGGTCTCTGAATCTACCAGATGTTTACAGCTGGGTGGCGAAGATGTTCTCCTATAGCCCCACAGGAAGCTGCTCTCCACTTCCTTCCTCTGTCGCTGCTAGACGGATCAGAACGGGCCTGGTCCTCATTTCACATCTGCTCTCCGTCACATCTGTTCATCAGTGTGGAGGTTCAGCCATGTGACCAGGTTCTGGTCCTGGAGATGGTTGGTTCTGAAGCAGAGGGTGAATCTGGCACCGCTGTTGGAGACCAGAGCCCAGAAGGTTCCTGTGATGCTCCAGAGCTACTCATCCATTTGCTTTTATCTGAGCTCTGATTCTTCAAGATCTTTGGAAGTTCAGTACCACCTGCGAGGCAGTTAGCTGAAAGAGCTAACCGGGCTCTATATGGGCTCTCTGAGCTCTAACTGGGATCTAACTGGGCTCTAACTGGGCTCTCTCTGAGCTCTAACTGGGCTCTATCTGAGCTTTAACTTGGCTCTCTCTGAGTTCTAACTGGGCTCTCTCTGAGGTCTAACTAGGCTCTAACTGGGCTCTCTCTGAGCTCTAACTGGGATCTAACTGGGCTCTAACTGGGCTCTATCTGAGCTCTAACTGGGCTCTATCTGAGGTCTAACTGGGCTCTATCTGAGGTCTAACTGGGATCTATCTGAGGTCTAACTGGGCTCTATCTGAGGTCTAACTGGGCTCTATCTGAGGTCTAACTGGGCTCTAACTGGGCTCTATCTGAGGTCTAACTGGGCTCTATCTGAGGTCTAACTGGGATCTATCTGAGGTCTAACTGGGCTCTATCTGAGGTCTAACTGGGATCTATCTGAGGTCTAACTGGGCTCTATCTGAGGTCTAACTGGGCTCTATCTGAGGTCTAACTGGGCTCTATCTGAGGTCTAACTGGGCTCTATCTGAGGTCTAACTGGGCTCTATCTGAGGTCTAACTGGGCTCTATCTGAGGTCTAACTGGGATCTAACTGGGCTCTAACTGGGCTCTCTCTGAGGTCTAACTGGGCTCTATCTGAGGTCTAACTGGGCTCTCTCTGAGGTCTAACTGGGATCTAACTGGGCTCTAACTGGGCTCTCTCTGAGCTCTAACTGGGATCTAACTGGGCTCTAACTGGGCTCTCTCTGAGGTCTAACTGGGCTCTCTCTGAGGTCTAACTGGGCTCTATCTGAGGTCTAACTGGGCTCTATCTGAGGTCTAACTGGGCTCTATCTGAGGTCTAACTGGGCTCTATCTGAGGTCTAACTGGGCTCTATCTGAGGTCTAACTGGGCTCTCTCTGAGGTCTAACTGGGATCTAACTGGGCTCTAACTGGGCTCTCTCTGAGCTCTAACTGGGATCTAACTGGGCTCTAACTGGGCTCTCTCTGAGGTCTAACTGGGCTCTCTCTGAGGTCTAACTGGGCTCTCTCTGAGGTCTAACTGGGCTCTATCTGAGCTCTAACTGGGCTCTATCTGAGGTCTAACTGGGCTCTATCTGAGGTCTAACTGGGCTCTATCTGAGGTCTAACTGGGCTCTATCTGAGCTCTAACTGGGCTCTATCTGAGCTCTAACTGGGCTCTATCTGAGGTCTAACTGGGCTCTATCTGAGCTCTAACTGGGCTCTATCTGAGCTCTAACTGGGCTCTATCTGAGGTCTAACTGGGCTCTCTCTGAGCACTAACTGGGCTCTCTCTGAGCTCTAACTGGGCTCTCTCTGAGGTCTAACTGGGCTCTATCTGAGCTTTATTTTGGCTCTCTCTGAGCTCTAACTGGGCTCTATCTGAGCTCTAACTGGGCTCTCTCTGAGTTCTAACTGGGCTCTCTCTGAGCTCTAACTGGGCTCTATCTGAGCTCTAACTGGGCTCTCTCTGAGCTCTAACTGGGCTCTCTCTGAGGTCTAACTGGGCTCTAACTGGGCTCTCTCTGAGCTCTAACTGGGCTCTCTCTGAGCTCTAACTGGGCTCTATCTGAGCTCTAACTGGGCTCTATCTGAGCTCTAACTGGGCTCTATCTGAGGTCTAACTGGGCTCTCTCTGAGCTCTAACTGGGCTCTCTCTGAGCTCTAACTGGGCTCTCTCTGAGCTCTAACTGGGCTCTATCTGAGCTCTAACTGGGCTCTATCTGAGCTCTAACTGGGCTCTCTCTGAGCTCTAACTGGGCTCTCTCTGAGCTCTAACTGGGCTCTCTCTGAGTTCTAACTGGGCTCTATCTGAGCTCTAACTGGGCTCTAACTGGGCTCTCTCTGAGGTCTAACTGGGCTCTATCTGAGCTCTATTTTGGCTCTCTCTGAGCTCTAACTGGGCTCTCTCTGAGCTCTAACTGGGCTCTATCTTAGATCTAACTGGGCTCTAATTATGCTCTAACTTGGCTCTCTCTGAGCGCTAACTAGGCTCTAACTAGGCTCTAACTGGGCTCTCTCTGAGCTCTAACTGGGCTCTATCTGAGCTCTAACTGGGCTCTATCTGAGCTCTAACTGGGCTCTATCTGAGCTTTAACTGGGCTCTATCTTAGATCTAACTGGGCTCTAATTATGCTCTAACTGGGCTCTCTCTGAGCTCTAACTGGGCTCTATCTTAGATCTAACTGGGCTCTAATTATGCTCTAACTTGGCTCTCTCTGAGCGCTAACTAGGCTCTAACTAGGCTCTAACTGGGCTCTATCTTAGATCTAACTGGGCTCTAATTATGCTCTAACTTGGCTCTCTCTGAGCGCTAACTAGGCTCTAACTAGGCTCTAACTGGGCTCTCTCTGAGCTCTAACTGGGCTCTATCTGAGCTCTAACTGGGCTCTATCTGAGCTCTAACTGGGCTCTATCTGAGCTCTAACTGGGCTCTATCTGAGGTCTAACTGGGCTCTCTCTGAGCTCTAACTGGGCTCTCTCTGAGCTCTAACTGGGCTCTCTCTGAGGTCTAACTGGGCTCTCTCTGAGGTCTAACTGGGCTCTCTCTGAGTTCTAACTGGGCTCTATCTGAGCTCTAACTGGGCTCTAACTGGGCTCTCTCTGAGGTCTAACTGGGCTCTATCTGAGCTCTATTTTGGCTCTCTCTGAGCTCTAACTGGGCTCTCTCTGAGCTCTAACTGGGCTCTATCTTAGATCTAACTGGGCTCTAATTATGCTCTAACTGGGCTCTCTCTGAGCTCTAACTGGGCTCTATCTGAGGTCTAACTGGGCTCTATCTGAGCTCTAACTGGGCTCTATCTGAGCTCTAACTGGGCTCTCTCTGAGTTCTAACTGGGCTCTCTCTGAGCTCTAACTGGGCTCTCTCTGAGCTCTAACTGGGCTCTCTCTGAGCTCTAACTGGGCTCTCTCTGAGCTCTAACTGGGCTCTATCTTAGATCTAACTGGGCTCTAATTATGCTCTAACTTGGCTCTCTCTGAGCGCTAACTAGGCTCTAACTAGGCTCTAACTGGGCCCTCTCTGAGCTCTAACTGGGCTCTCTCTGAGCTCTAACTGGGCTCTCTCTGAGCTCTAACTGGGCTCTCTCTGAGCTCTAACTGGGCTCTCTCTGAGCTCTAACTGGGCTCTATCTGAGGTCTAACTGGGCTCTATCTGAGCCCTATCCGGGCTCTCCATGAGCTCTAACCAGGCTCTCTCTTGGCTATCTGGTACTGACTTTGGGTCAAAATGGCTCTGGCTGCAGTCAGCTTAATCTACATTCAAATTCATCAGTGTGAAGATGGATTTCCTGATCAACTTCCTGTTTCTATTTGGTGCTTCCTGTGAGCGCAGAAATAGCTGTGATGTCATCCACATGATGAAGTATGGAGCACATGCAAGATGGCTCTGTTGCATGCTGGGAAAATGTGTTTAATTATCAGCATCCAGAGACTTTTTATAAAGTGTAAACAGCTTGTTGTCTCCATAATGATGTTTGGATGGTTGTGCTCCCAGGACTGAGTCTTTGTTGCTTAGCAACAACAGAAGTTATGTCTCCTTTCAGAGAAACCTTTCCTTAGTGATTGAGCCAAGGTTGGACCTAACTGTGAAATGTATGAAACCAAATGATCTCAAAATAAACTGCTTAGAAAAAAAACCTTGACCTCTCTGGTGTCAGGTGGGAATCTGGTGTCTGTGTGAACGGAACGGTTCTCAGGAGGTTCTCTGCTTCTTCCTGCTGTCAGAAAGATAACGGGTGATGCTAAATTACACACATACATGTGGATGGATTAACATATATATCCATAAATATTTATCAATGTTTCTAGTCTAAAGGTTCACAGTGACATTATTTAGCTCTACAAAAACAACTGACAAACATTTGATCTTGATAAAATAAGATTGTATCTACCATTACTTATAACTAAGCGATACAGGTTTTTAGGGGCTGGTTGGTATACATGCCGGATCCTGGAAACACCCGTCTGCTGTACCACCGGCGGGAATGTGTTCCTCTCTGTGTCACAGACCGGATGGATGGCCATGAGATATTATGCAACCGGATGCTGAGTCTCTTGCCTGAACACATTAAAAGAAAGATTTTATGCCATCACAGGTGAGTCAGTACCTGGACTTCTGTGAAATGTCATCTCTATCACATTTAATGCTTAGGGTTGCCTTTGTAGGATTTTTTTGTATATATTTATAACCTTTATTTAACCAGAAAAAAAAAATCCCATTGAGATTAAAAACCTGGTTTTCAAGGGAGTCGTGGCCAAGAGGCAACAAATTCACATAACAAACAAATACATTAAAATTAAATGACAGGTACATAAAAAACATATCAAGTAAAACAGCAGATCATTGAGGCTGCTTCAAATTCTTTCACTTTCAACTTAGCAGCATTTAAAGATAAAAACTCAGTCAACTTCCAGTTTCTTTGTAAAATATTCCCCCCAGAAGGAGCAGCGTAGCTAAAGGCTTTCTCCTCCAGTTCTGTTCGGGCAAAAGCAGCAGAGAGCAGCAGCTGATGGTGGATCTCAGGGCAGAAGAAGCCGCGCTTTACTGGGGAAGGAAGGTACAAACGTTAGAGGGCAGTAATCCAAGACGGGCCTCGGAAATAAAAGCGCACCAATGACACTGCCTTCTGGTAGAGAGGGAAGGCCGTCCCACCTGAGAGGACAGGTACCAGTGATGTCATGATCTACAGTCTGTGATGAACCTTAATGAAACACGGGAAACAGAGTCCAACACGGGAAGACATGAAGAGGAAGCGTTCTTATAAAAAAGGTCCCCAGAATGTAAGACCGATAAAAAAGTGGCAGAGACAAGGAGCTTTTTATTAAAAAAGAAAAACATGTCTTATTACGAAAGAAGAAGCTCAGTTTAACTTTTAATTTCTTGACAAGTTTATCAATAAAAGGTTTGAAGGTGAGGGAGTCATTGATTCCAATTCCAAGGTATTTATATTCATGTTCCCCTCCAGAGTGGACACTACTGGAAGGGTTTGAGGCACCTTCCTATCATTTGAAAACAACATTTTGTCAGAATGAAGAAATAA